TGGCAGTTCTGTGCACCATGGTGTTTTTTAATTTTATCATTCACTCAATTTTGTCGTTTTCACAATCTCCAAATAGGTTATATTCTTCTGAAACGCTGGTTTTGTTATTTTACCATGCGCAATGCCACAGACAATAATTCCGTATTTTCGCGCTGATGTATGAGTTCGATGATTGTTCAAACTGAACTGAGTGTTCCTCGTTTCTCAAAGTACTATTCACTATTTTCGAGGATATATTTCAGTCGTTGGTGTGCATATCGCACATTACGCTATACAATCGCACACATGATTCCTCGCCGATGAGACTGACTTTGGTTTCCCCTTGACCCACAGACCTTCGTTTATTCAAGACAAAGATCATTTTGAAGAAGAAATTTTGGTCTCATTCTGGATGTAATACACGCATGTGATTGGACAGGGTCTGTTATGCATTGGGCTAACAGCACAAGTGCATTGTGGATAGAAACTGTGTTTAACAGCTATAGTCACCTTCATTTTGCTATTTTCTCCCATCCAGGTATGGTGTACCTGAATCGGTAGCATACACGTCACATGAACCACACGGAATCCAAATTCCGATAAACTTCAGCGAGTCAAATAAAATCTATGCACACATACTGTGCCCAGAAGATTGTGCAAAAGTCCTGATTTTTGTACTCCTTTTCTCTTCGCTCTGTCCACCAGTTGCTGATACGTAAAAGCACACACTTTCCTAGTTCAACTTCACTTGGAAATAATGATCCACTCCGTCGACGTTGAATGTGTATATGGGGAAAGGCACTGAATGGACATCTACTTAGCAATATGTTTTCTCTCAAACAATCCGTTTCTTATCTCAACTGCCACATGCTGCTCCACCCTTGAATTTAATATTGAATGGTTGTATTCTAGTTCTTATCATCTCGTATTGATTAGACATTTTCCGGGGACCGTTATTTATCTTCTAACACTCCTCCGTGGTATGTGAAATTGTGTTCATACCCCCTTGTGGCTCTACTTCTGTTATCCTCAATAATGGATACGGTAATTAGTGTATCTGGAACTCTGTCATAGTTGCGGACCGTTGTATGCTCTTTTATCTTTGTTTCGATCGCTTTTCAATAAAAACTTTAAATGGGTACACAACGCTCAATCATCTTCTGTTTTACTAGGAGTCGTTTCGCGCTTTATCAATTACCAGTAACTCGAAAAGTTGTACATTCCGGTGGCTGTCATATTTAAAAGTAATCGGAAGCGAGTGATTCTTTTGGATAAGATGTGAGGTGCCAGTGTCTTGTATGTTTAATGTCCGGCCCTATAATGCTGGACACCCCTCTCTAGAAACGGTTAGAAACCTACGCCCCGAGGAGGTCGCTACACATGCACACGTTTCAGGTTGCTGAAAACGTGCCCTGAGAGTTTGTGCGCTAGCCTACTAGTTCATCACCTTTCCGAGTAACGTTGTCTGAAATAACTTTGAAGGATTTGTACCTAAAGGCACTTTAGTCTATAAAACAGTTTACGGGTACTAACGATACAGCATGAGCATGAGTAGAAAATGCCTCAACTTTCAGATTACCTTTTCACATCAAGATCGCTACTGCTTGACGCTAGGCTTTGTTAAAGTCAGTAACGTGCTTTCGGTTTCAATCTAATTGGTCTTATTGTCTAGTGTCCCTAATTATTCCTGCTCAAATGACAAGCGGGTCTTCACATGTTCATTTGACAATAATTACAAACGATTTCTACATCAGTCGTAGTCTAATGCCGTTTGGCGCAAGCCGGTCATCTAATTTCACTCTTACTCGCAGTGATTTAATCGCCATTTCAACAATGTGCCAACTAACTTTGGTGACTCTTAGTTGAACTCGGATCGTGTCTGTACACTGTATATCATTGAAGAATGCCCGAAAGTTTATTCGTACTGTCTTCAGTTTTTCTCTCTTATTTATCATCGTTATCATAGATGTTATCTTCATCCTAATATTTTCACTGATAAATGTAATTTTTGTTTTTCAGTATCTGATCAAGGTAAATGAGTTAAAGGCCAAACGAAGTGCGGATCTTCTGCAGCACTTGATCGATTTCTATTACGCACAGAGCCAGTAAGTTCATTTTCATCTTTGCCGTCCATTACCATCAACCCATCCAACCGCTATCCACTTATAATTTGAAGCGTATCATTCAAAAATGTTTATTGGTTTCGTTCCGACGAGCACATTTGATTTTGTTTCGGGTCCCCGTATTAGAGCTACGCCATGTTCGAATGAGTATTTAGTTAGTTAGCAACCGACCATCCGATCTTCACATATTTGTATACCCCTCACACCGAATTGCAAGTGGATCTCCGCTCACATGGAGTCTTACCTCTTGGGTTTATACTTAGACACGCATTTATTCCCTTTTCCCTCCTAGGATAAAAGTGCCAAATTTTCCAGTAAGTTGATATCCCAGACTAGGGGGATACTGTATAAATTGGTGCTTGTCTGAAGCATGTGTTATCTCGGTTTCTGAAAGGATTAAGAATGAAGAAACCTAGGAGTGTGTCACCGCGCACATAGATACACATTTCTACCTTTTGTGGTGCAAGATTGCACATCTTATCTGTTGATCCTTCTCTCATAGTTTCCTGTCCAACATTGGGAATGCTTTCCTGGGCATTTTGCACGAGATTATGCAGTGACCAGGTTCTATCTCATTACCAAGACCTCACTTACGCCCAGTTTCGTTCAGCTGTTCTATTCTGATCATTTCTCCAGTTTTTTTAAGTGTAATATTGTGCTATTGGAACTTGAATCCATTGGGAAAATAGTAAAGGTAACTTTTTAATTTCGGTGTATTTCGTCGTGTGCATAACAAATGAAGCGTGAACTGAAAAGCTGGGAAGCACAGGACAACTATTTCGACTTGGTTGGGTCTCATCAACAGTGCGACTCCATCGACTCGATTTAGGACCGAATGCTGGTTTTTCAGTTAACGCTTCATGATGTTTTCATTTTGCTTCTACTTCTAGCTTTTAGTTCGTTGGGTCTTGTAAAGAACATCCCTCTTGTCTTATCAAGTTTGCCCGTTTCCTTCCATTGGAAGTTAATTTCCTTTCAAATACTACATGATGGTTTAATTACTCTGCCAATCCTTCAAAATCTGTCTGTCTGTGAGCCGTTGAGGTGGAGGATGTATGTGTGCATTTCACGCGGATCTGATTCCAAACTCAAAAAATCACGGTGAAATCGTCTTTATAGGAAAGTAAAGGCTGATGATTTTCCGGTGGGTGGAATGCTATTAGGTTACCCGGGCCAAAGCAGATGAACTTTCATGACGATTCACAACTGAAGTATTCGGCTAGCTAAATCCCAACCCGCAAGGCAGCGAGGCGATGTTTGGAAATCGTGATCTGTTGGGGCCAAGTTACTCGATCACGCACCCTTTGGACGGGGTCAAACGTCCAAGAAGCTCAACACATCTGGATGACCAATCGAGCCGGTGACCACTGCCGCTGTGTGTGTGTGTATGTGTGTGGTTCGTACACCTCATCTTGGTTAGTTTGGAATCAAGTTTTTTATCTAACTCTCTTAGGTGAATTTCCAGTGGTCTGCCGACTCGATTATAGCCCTGGATGTGAACTTTTCTTCTTCTCACTTTGATGGAAAAGCACCTCTACCACTGGGAGACAAATAGTAAAGCTTCCTGATCAAAGGTAATTTCAAATGCTTGGTCGTATGGGATCGTTGCATGATATGCAAGGGAAGGGTGACCATTCACCATCCGTGACACCCATTCCCGACTATCCTGAAGCTTTTGAAGGCTACATATTTACCACATGGTCTAATTGACGAAATCTATGATGAGCAACAGCGGCCTAGTTCTTCGTCTCGCCCATTCTCCAACGTGGTTATGAATCACCAGCACTAGGTTTCTGTTATGCAATATTCTGTGGTTCTTTTCAATTTCTTTACTGAGTATATACTTGTACAGACATTTTCCAGGAAGAAGTAGGCAACCGATCAAAAGGCTGATATATGGTACAGAAACAATGGAGGAAGTTCGGCAGTAGTGGTGAGGTTCGAACACAAGTCTTCTGAGCGGTGAATTGATGATCTTAACCGCTTGATCAGGACCGTTTTCATTTTTTCATTTATGACTAGAGCGTGAAACCGTCTTTCTCCGGTCCGGGCTGTGTTACATCATGCGATTTAAAATACTTGAACCTTTGAAGCACCAGTTTGATCACATAAATTCAAAATCAAATTATTCTCCTCATTTATTTGAGTAACCCGAACAACGCAATATATATATATATATATATATATATATATATAATTCGATGTTTTTTGTAGGTGGGTTAGACTTGAGGGTCTTTATAGAATATTTCTTGATAGGTAGTATACGAATGACTCGACTAAATTTCCCTGGAATCATAGTAATGATTCTTCAATGGACCGGCTCTGAAAGAGCTGCCCACTCAAAATTACCCAGTGTTGCAGATTAAGTTGTTGTGACGAAACTACACCTCCTGGGTACAATTACATGAATGAAATGACAAAACATTACCGGATACGCATGCCTGGTGAACGGCAAGAACCGTGAAACAGCTCGTTTGCTTACAGGGAAATTTTGTCGAGTCATTCATGTACTAATTATTGTGATATATATTTTGTAATATACTGCAATCGCAATCTTTGACATTTTCCGACATGTATACGTCAGACAAGAGGCTAGACCATTGCACCTAATCCAATGAAAGGTGGGTCTCGATGAGCTGTGTTCGGGTGGATCTATAGTATATTGTGATGCACTTCCGTTTTTAGGAGAAGACAAACACTTGCTATTCATTGAGGTCGGATAGGATTGATTACGGCTTACAAACACCATCGTGCTTAGTCTTTGTACGCACAAAACAATCCTGCCCATAGTTATCTATTTCGCAAATCAGCCTGTTTGTTCTTTCCGCTAACATTCAGTGCCTCCCACACCGATCACCCTCGTCATGTTACCCCTAACAAGTGACCATCATCGTGCATGCATGGGTGCGTGCGTGCTTACTTGTTCACTTGTACCTGTGTGACCGTTGATCAACGAGTTAACCTTCATATTCCACCTGGCGTACAGCTGATATGATGTTTTTTCGGTCAACTATCAAGCTCTCTAGGTCGCTGCAATGTGAACATCCTAATGTGTAATCAGTGTAAATATGAGCATCTCAAGAAGTCATCGAAATGAAAACTCGATTGATTTCCTGTTACGGGAATGAAGAGCTATATCTGTGTTCGTTACGAACTGACACCTGTCTTTCTACCAGATCGTGTAAGATGTTCTAGATGAACTAGTTTTTGTAATGTTTCTTTATTTGGCACGAGTAAAAAATATGATGCAGCTTATTGGGAGGTGAGTCACATGGCTTCCAGCTCCCTTGTTGCTGTCTATCGGTACATTCATTGACAGTGCGGATGAGTCATATCGAACCACAGAGAACTGTATGAAGCTAGTATTCATGCTTTGTTCCCAGCAGTGAATGCATTAGAGCTTCGCTCTGTTCGGTGAGCGTTCTATTTCCGTAATTACACATGACAGTTGACTTGTAAACCTAGTTTGGGACCTAATTCTGCTGCGTGTGAGGTTGGTTTGGCTGATGGTATGACTAACTAGTAGTATAACTGATCATTTATAATGTCTTGATTCTCGTTGCAACAGTTACCTACGTGAATGTCTTGGCGTAATGGATCATTTTGGGAAATCAATGAACGATCTGGCTAATCGCGTAACTGTTTTACAAAAGATCCACGATGCCCAGAAGCGGCGGTTGGTCGATACCCGAGAGGAAATTCGTGTTATGCTGGAGAAAGAGGTGAGCTTTCGTGAGGCAACATACTTTAACTTATGTTCCTTTCCCCAAACACTGCACATGTCTGGACTCACTGATCCAAGGTCTGAATGTTTTGGAAGATTTTCCCCGTAGGTTTATCGCTTTATCCAATTTGGTAGTGTGCTGTCCTTAGTGTTGATCTGCCGTTTCTATAATTGTGTAAACAAAGATTATGTCGATATCAACGCCACATTGCAGCGATTTTACTAAATTTTCTACTTTGCACTTTGTCTGGATTTGAGGTATTTCGCAAATAACCGGTCTGCTACACTGAATGATATACTTATTCATTAACGGTGCCGAAGGCATTTATCCTTCATCGTGTTTATTCAAGTCTGACAGTTAATTCTGTTATGATGTGCCTTTTAAAGTAACTTTTGTCTCCCCTTGAAATGTTTTAACTTTACACAAGGTGATTGACCATCATTGCGTAAGACTGTAACTTAGGTGAAACTCATCTAATAACGAACGTGTCAGTGATAAGTGACGTCTGCGTTTATTGCTTGTGCATCAGGACTTTCGATCAAACATGCTGTTTCCTTGTTTTATTCCGATTTGCTTCTGTCGGATTCTCGAATAAACACTGGTGTTTATAATTGATAGGACACACTTGGCGTCTTCTGCAAAANCCCCGCCATGCCACGTCAGTCTTTTCTGTCATCAACGTATATTGACTCCGTTAGCCACCCGCCTAATATGTCCGCAGCTGTCTCCCAATTTCTCTGTGGCACAATACACACTGAGTAGTAATGATTGTGTGACATCCTATGCATACTTTGTTCGGCCAAATGATGTGAGTGAAAATGGCGAATTGTTCCTAAATAGGGTGTAGGTATACAAGTCGTGTTGCTTGTTCCCGCACCCTGCCCTCACTCACTCTCTCATACGCCATTAGCGCCGACTGCCGAGTTGTTTCATATGTCTNGTCCTGTGCGTGATTGAGCGTGAATGGCTGATCGAATTGCACCGGAACAGTTGATTGTCGCATAAATGTCTGGATTGCGGTACCAAGTCAGATTAAAGCAACTACGCTGCTGTGTTAGGTTATTTCCCTCTTCGATTTCGACAAACACAATTCTTTTTGGAAATCGGAAAGAGACCGCTGTCTCCACTTTATAACGTATGACAAGCACTTCCAATAGCACTTGGTCAGTTGTAATCCGTATTCAATCGCCTCACGTGATCCGAAGGGAAAAAGTGAAAATTTCTGTGATGCATTAAACAACAAGTTACTGGTTAACCAAACTGCATCGTTGTTGAGATGGCTTTCGTTAATATTTGTTTATTCAATTATTCTTCTGCTCTTAGTGTGAGTTATCGTTATTGCTTGGTGCTAGCAAGTAACCTATATAAACTCATCTAGCTGAAATTGGTGAAATGACACTGATTAGTGAAGTGATAATGGCTTGAAACGAATGTAAAGCAGAAAAAACATACTCGTTTATAAGCTTGATCGCTATTACTTTCTCGCCACAAAAACACTCCATCTTTTAGTCGAATTATGTCCTATGATGAAAACTAAATCCAGTTCGATAAAGATCAACGTTAAGCGCAGTCGTTGGGTAGAAAAAGATTATTAAACGTAACCCAAGTTGCAATATGTGCCAAAGGTAAGTCGGATAGCGATTATTCGGTGGTCTGCTACAGGCGTATTCCATCATAATTTCTTTGAACTTTGCTCATCGACCATAGTAGAATTATGTTACACCCATTTTTATAAATTTTAGAAGATGAAATCTATAAATTTCATGGGAATCTAGAACATGCGTGGTATCTGTCAGAGAAATATTATTACTGAAACCAAACGGCAACGGAGGGATAGAGAAACGAAAGTTATCAGCGGAAATGAAGTTCCTTAAGCACCAGGTGATCTGTATTCCTTAATATTATGCGCTATTGTTTTCGATTTTAGGTTGTGTCTGTTACGCTATGCATTCAATGACTTCCGTGATTATCCTGATCTATATGAGGTTTTTCGGGGAAAAGCAATCTTCGTTTACGTGCTATACTTCAAAACGGTCCACTGCGTTGCTTATTTCGGTCTTGTTCAGAAAGCGATGCTAGTGCATGACGTAAGAGTTGTTGGGCAAACGTACGTGATCCACGTCAAAGTCAGCAATAAAGCTATACGGCGGTCGCTTCAAGTAGAGGTCAATTATCTACTCCCGACAAGCACAATGGCATCCAGTGACCATACGAAACCATTTAGTTTTCCCAATGTTGGGAAACTAGGTCCTTTAGGTTTTTTTTATCACCCACCTTTATGTAATTAATAACATCAGTATTAGACCAACGTTGGATAGTGATCACAATGTCCGAACTTCGAACCATAGTGTCCAGACCACACCAGCGACTCAAACCGCTTAACAAACACCGCCACTCGTCTGTCTACACAAGAAGCATATTCCTCAAATACCAATCGACCCACAGGGTCCAGTCAAGTGCCTCTGATCTGTTGACGATTCCGTATAAGTAAACTGACTTCTGTCTCAATCCAGTCAGTCCCGCTCGTGATAATGGGAATTGCATATTTCGTTCCTCATTCGTGAAGTCATTACTGCAATAACATCTATTTTATACGAATAAATGGAATCACTGCATAGAGGAGTCCAAGTCTTCTTCCTCACTGTCGTCACGTAATATTCGGGTTCGTTTATTGTTGCAGACGTGATGTAGCAACAAATAAAGATGCTATCAATCTCTCGTCTCTTTTTCTTTCACTGTCAATGCTGCCATTTACGGCTAACTTTTCCTGTGTGCGTAATTTACCATTCTGTCCCATACAATTAGACATCGATTTCGAACCGCAAATCACGTCTGTTTACTCAGGTAAACCACTTTGCCGCTCGTTGTACTTACTCATTCCCATCGATTTGTGACATTATCGCTTCACGTGTACGTGATGATCGTGTTCCGTCATATGGTTCTGCCCTATCTACACTCCATCCGTCATCTGAATTCAATGGACAACCAAAAGGATGTTTGGCATGCTAAGGCTCATGGTTCACATGTTTGCTGTTGTTATGCTTATTTTTATCGTTGTTTTACTATTTGTTGTGATTTACGACCAAACTGTGCACTGTTTTGGTCGTCTTGCATCGTTTCTCTCTCCCCATTGTTTTTCTGATTCCCTGTCTGGCTTGTTTATTTGCTGCTTTCTGTCCCACTAATTGCCCCTTCCTTTCGCTGTTCGATCTCCGATGGTTATCAGGAATGATCATGCATTCCAAACATGCGGCACCTGTTTCTTCCTCAATCGATCTCGTCAATACAATTACCCTCTGTTGCAGATAACCGATGGACCGAATTCCAACCTACAAATCAGCGCCTTTTTTCATTGACTTAATCCTAATTTGCATGCTTGCTCTATTTCCAGCCACCAAAATGAATTGTCAACGATAGGTTGGTGCTTCACCAGTTTTTCCTGTCGTGAATATCGTTCAAGTCTTCAAGGAGTTACGTTTTGCCATGTAGGTTGTGCCGGTGCGTTGTAGAAATGAACTCACATGGACTAGGGAATTCATTCCACTGGCTGATCGGTCCGTAGTGTGCTGGTGTGTGCATTTGGCATATCTTGACGAACACAATGCCTATCAGACAGCTGCAGTTCTGCATACATAAACAAGCTTATTACTTACATAGACAAAACGACTTGCCCGATTCTTCGGGTTCTAGTTGTCTTACATTTTCAATTTTCCACTAATGATCCTAATTGTCCATTTTTGAAAACTTTAGACCCACTTTGCCTTGATCGTACTTGTGTTTTATACTCATAGTGTGTACTTGCTGTTCCAATGTGTTTATGTTTTAAATTCTCGATTATATCGATTGTTTGCCTCTGAACGCTTGTTGTCGTCCATTTTGTGCCTTATGATTTCTAGGAAAGTTTGGGAGAAAGGAGTAAACAGACGATCACGCAACTGACTGAATTATTTTATCTTGTCTCTTCTCAATACAAATCACTCTCATTTGAGGTCGTTTGTTCGATATTTTTGCTGTCCTTCAGTCTGCCCAAGCAGGTGTGACTTACGCGGCACAACCAGCTCAAGTCAATCGGGCTTACGGAACAAGAAAAAGCGGATTTTTGTTGAAGAAGTCTGATGGAAAAGTAAATTTTCTTTCTTTCATTCCGTTCATTTATCATCTTCTTGACCGATATTTAATCTTGCCTGTAGCTCTTTCTTTATTGTACCAAAAATTTTTTCCGACGCGATTCGATTTTGAAAGTGCAGGGTTTTTGAAATAATTCAGTCCGTATCTGTTGGTCGATTTGCGGATCATGCCGAACGTAATCCATCCGTAGGAAGACTGAGTGTTTCGGTTTTTGTACTGACTTCTGTAGCTCCAGCCCCTATCTTCCGTTCACCGTAACTCGGCTGGTAGAACGCATGCTGTGTGAAAGTGTGGTTTTAAACCCCTCTGACGCTCTGCATCTCCTGCAGACTACTTTAAACGTCACAATCAGTTCAACCCTGCCGCATTTTGATATCGTTGATTGTACTGTTATTGCTCTCCGTTCTTTTTACGTCATACTGTGTTACCCTGTGGGATATCCCTTTATCGTTTTGGATATAGAACGTTATACGATCCATATTGGTAAACTTGGTGAACTTGTTTGTGCACACCATGGTTTATCAGCGTTGTGGGTCATTGTACTATTGAAGTACCCAAGGAAGCTTTTCCTTGCCCTTGAAATGTACACTAACCCACTAATTAGTGGATTGGCGATCTAGCACAAATCGATGTCTGTTGGTACGATCATATGCGCTTAGAATAGAGCTGTTTGGGAGGATTTGAGGTCCGTGTTTCTCCTCACATGAGCTAATTTCCAGTGGCTTACCAGGTCAGCTATAGCTCCAGTCCAATAATGAGTGGATGCGGTTAAACTCCTGGTTAGAAATATGTTTTTGCGTTCTTTTCTCTTTAAGTTCTTGGAATTCAGTCATTTGACGCTTCATGCTTTCCGACCATTTTCTGAGTATACTGGTTAGTGAGCCGGAATTGATTTGTTTGCGTATAACTTAGTTATCAATAAATGGAATGAATGAACTGAGCTAATTGCATGTACGATAAAAATAGTCTCTACTGTCGCTTAGCGTATCATAATGTAATTAGTCTTCCTCTAATCTATCTCTAGGTCAAACGTGTATGGCAACGCCGTCGTGTGCGAATCGGGGATGGGGAATTGTGGCTCTATCATGCAGACGAGTCAAAACCACCAGTTCGACTTGCACTACTCACGTGCCAGGTAAAGCTGCCCGCAGATACGACTACCAGTTCACTCGGAGTTGGTCAAACAGATACAGATGTTTCTTCTGTGAGCGCAGCTGGAACAGACGGAAAAAATCACTTCGATTTGGTTTCTAGTAAGTATTTCGATTTCTTCGGTTTACACGACATACCCTTCATTGATTTATGCTCTATGGCACGATGAAGTTCACCGTAAAATCTGCTACAGTCAAATACACGTCTCCCGAGCCCTATATCTGCGTACGCTCTTCTCATTCACTGTGAAGACGTCGTCCTCCAAAAAACTGTCTGTTTATAAACGCAGTTAACTGACGTCAGTTTTGCACTGCACCATTCTAACCACAGAATCTAATGTAAAGTCATCATGCTCCCTTACTCGTTAACCGGTTCTGTAGCTCACTTGAGATAGTTTGAATGGGAGATAGATAAATAGAGAGAGAAAACGAAACGGATGGTGCCCACGTAGTCTTTATTTTGTGCGACCAACTATATTCCATCCCCTGAAACCAAACAGTAAGGCGCTTTACGATTACTGCTAACTCATCCGTCTAATTCTGTTTTGGATAAAATCTAGAATTGCATGGTTACCCATGAGTTATCTATCAGGATTTAGCAAGTACTAGTTTCTGCTTGGCCTACCGTATGCAATCCCAGCCAACCGGACGGACAGCGGAGATCGCCTACTTCAACTCTGCGCGGACCACGGATTGTTCCTGTCAAACACGAACTTCTCGCACAAGAAACGCCATCGACTTACATGGAAACCGCCAACCTCTTCACTGCGCTGGACCCAAATGGACCACATCGCCATTAGTTACCGCTGGAGGGGATCAATTCAAGACTGCTGCTCTTACTGGTCAAAAGCTGTGGATACAGACCACGCCTTGTTACGAGCCAAGTTCTCCTTACGCCTGGCAAACAACCGCAAAAAAGGCGCCGACAACGGATACCCATGATACAGTGTCAGCGATTTATGCAAATCGGCATTCGAAGCGGAGCTCTCCGATCGCCTGTCAACCACCAGCCGAAGGACTCAATGAACACTGGAAGCAAATCAAGGAAGGTATGCAGATATCGATAAAAACAACGTCGGACCCTACCTCAAGCCCAAAATACAAACAATGGATATCATCGACCTCGGTTGTCCTGCTGGACACCCACAGAACCCTCTCTCCTGATGCCACATACGACACAGTGCGCAAATCCCTTAAACGCCAGCTCATCAGGAGTCTGAGGAATGACCGCGAGAAGTGGTGGGTGGAAAAGTGTAAAGAGGTGGAGAAAGCTGCAGCTGTTGGTAATAGTCGTAACCTTTTCCATCTAATTAGGAATACGGGCCCTAGGAAAATTGGCGTGAGGTGATTAAGGAATCCGATGGCACACTGATTCACGATCAGCAACGCCTCTTGACCGTTGGGGTGAACATTTCAAGGCTCAGTTCAACTGGCCCCCATCGACATCTTATCTTTCACTCTCCACCTCGACTGGACAAATACTCCCAGTTGATGCTAGTCCCCCATCTGAAGTGGAGGTTTCTCGGGAAATAAGCTGTCTCAAAAGGCATAAAGCCTCTGGTACAGATGGGCTGTTCCCGTCAACGTTTAAGGATGGAGGCTCAGCGTTAGTCTTGGAGTTGCCAAAACTCCTGGGTTCAATATGGGAAAGGGAAAAGGTTCCAGCTGAATGGTGTGAATCGGTGATCATACCGATTTACAAGAAAGGTGATAGATCCTCTTGTGAAAACCACAGAGGAATTAGTTTAATCAATATTGCCTCAAAACTTCTCGCCGGCATCATACTCCGCCGATTGTCTGCCGCACGTGAACGGTGTACGCGTGAGAACCAGGCTGGTTTTAGGCCCGATCGAGGTTGTATCGACCACATCTTCACTCTCCACCAGATTCTGGAGCGTCGACATTATTTTCGTAGACCCACTCACCATCTCTGTCTTCCTAGATCTGAAAGCGGCTTTCGAATCAGTCGACCGCTCT